ATACTGCTTTTTTACAAATTAACCGGTTGTAAAAATACTGCTTTTTTACAAAAATATATTTTTGTGTAAAAATCCTGCTATTTTACACGTATAGACCATTTGACAAACTCATTTATCGAAGACAGCCTGTTTTCTATAGCATGGTTCGAAGTTTATTGAACTGTAGTTTTCGAGCGCTTCTCAAACCGTACATTTTAAGATATCCGGCTAGTCACGTTCACGTTCCCGTGTCCCCTTTATTGTGGGGCATTTAAATTCCCTTGTTAACTCGCTGACAGCGTTAAAAATTTACGTTCTTTTTATTCTTTTTATTCTTTCTTCTTGTTTCCTTTGTCATTCAATTTTCCAGGACCTTCTAATTGTTGGATGCGAAGAAGGAACAGGCAGTAATTTCATTTGTTATGCCTATCGGCCGAGGTCACGCACGGCAGTAACTGCATGTTAGGCAATAATAGAATAGCTGGGTTATATATATATATATATATATGTTGTGTAAAAAAACGGTACCGTAAGAAAGCTGTCTTTTTACACTGATATATATTTGTAAAAGGACAGCTTTTTTACAAAGATATATTTTGTAAAAAAACGGTCATACACTAAATGTTGCTGGCGAATTCAGCTAGTGTTCATATTAAGCTTGTTTAGCCTTTACAAGTGTTTTCTGGCTTATTTCTCGATCTCTAAAATAAAACACGCATTGCCGTACGTTACAGACGTCTTTATAGTCCCTAATTCTTATAAACGAATCGGCTGCTGTTTCTATGGCCTTACAAGTTGCTCTGTGTCTTGCAAAAATTAGACTAACAAGCGAGTGTATGTACGTTTGTAGCTATAGGCTAGCCTTTCCCTTTGCTTGATTAGCCGACTGAACATGTTCCTACATCATGTTGAAAGCTAAAAGTTGTAACGCAGACATGACACTCTTGCATGCATCAACATGGATTTCAACATAGCATGAATCCCGTGATAGAATGAAGTCTAGCGCAACATACATAATACAGGAAATTGCCTAACAATTGCTGTCGTTGATTCTTGCTGAAGATTTTAGGCTGGAAATGGAGTTATAATTTATTTGTCCACTGCTAAGACCATCAAAGCATTATAGCCAAGTATTTTGTTGACAGTTAAACCGATTATTGCAGCTGATAACCTTGGGAAAATAGATAAATAATACAGAACAATATTCTGTACAGTTTTCGGCTTAAACGAAAGTAGCAATGAAGGAGAGAATAGAAGGCTTTGGTTCCTGCAAGAGATTGTGACAGGCATTGCTTATAAATGACACAGTGAACAACCCAGCTATTAACATGCAGTTACTGCCGTGCGTGACCTCGGCCGATAAGCATAACAAATGAAATTACTGCCTGTTCCTTCTTCGCATCCAACAATTAGAAGGTCCTGGAAAATTGAATGACAAAGGAAACAAGAAGAAATAATAAAAAGAATAAAAAGAACGTAAATTTTTAACGCTGTCAGCGAGTTAACAAGGGAATTTAAAAGCCCCACAATAAAGGGGACATGGGAACGTGAACGTGACTAGCCGTATATATTATAATCTACGGTTTGAGAAGCGCACGAAAAAGTTCGAACCATGCTATAGAAAACAGCCTGTCTTCGATAAATGGGTTTGTCAAATGGTCTATATGTGTAAAATAGCAGGATTTCTACATAAAAAGGCAGCTTTCTTACAAAAATATCTTTTGTAAGAAAACAGATTTTAATTTGTAGAAAAGCAGCTTTTTTACATAAGAAAGTTGCTTTTTTACAAAAATATATTTTTGTAAAAAAGCAGTATTTTTACAACCAGGTAACTTGTAAAAAAGCAGCTTTTTTACGTAAAAAAGCTGCTTTTTTACAAAAATATATTTTGTAAAAAAGCAGCTTTTTTACATAAAAAAGCAGTATTTTTACAACCGCTTAATTTGTAAAAAAGCAGCTTTTTTACATAAAAAAGCTGCTTTTTTACAAAGATATATTTTTGTAAAAAAGCAGTATTTTTACAACCAGGTAACTTGTAAAAAAAGCAGCTTTTTTACAAAAATATATTTTTGTAAAAAAGCAGTATTTTTACAACCGTTTAATTTGTAAAAAAGCAGCTTTTTTACATAAGGAAGTTGCTTTTTTACAAAAATATATTTTTGTAAAAAAGCAGTATTTTACAACCAGGTAACTTGTAAAAAAGCAGCTTTTTTACATAAAAAAGCTGCTTTTTTACAAAGATATATTTTGGTAAAAAAGCAGTATTTTTACAACCAGGTAACTTGTAAAAAAGCAGCTTTTTTACATAAAAATGACGCTTTTTTACAAGGACCGTTTTTTTATGCAACATATATATATATATATATATATGTTGCATAAAAAAACGGTCCTTGTAAAAAAGCGTCATTTTTATGTAAAAAAAGCTGCTTTTTTACAAATTAAACGGTTGTAAAAATACTGCTTTTTTACAAAAATATATTTTTGTAAAAAAGCAACTGCATGTTAGGCAATAATAGAATAGCTGGGTTATTCACTGTCTTATTTATAAGCAATGCCTGTCACAATCTCTTGCAGCAACCAAAGACTTCTATTCTCTCCTTCATTGTTACTTTTGTTCAAGCCGAAAACTGTACAGAATATTGTTCTGTATGATTTATCTATTTTCCCAAGGTTATCAGCTGCAATGATCGGTTTAACTGTCAACAAAATACTTGGCTATAATGCTTTGGTGCTCTTAGCAGTGGATAAATAAATTATAACTCCATTTCTAGCATAAAATCTCCAGCAAGAATCAACGACAGCAATTGTTAGGCAATTTCCTGTATTATGTATGATGCGCTAAACTTCTATCACGGGATTCATGCCATGTTGAAATCCATGTTGATGCATGCAAGATTGTCATGTCTGCGTTACAACTTTAAGCTTTCAACATGATGTAGGAACATGTTCAGTCGGCTAATCAAGCAAAAGGAAACGCTAGCCTATAGCTACAAGCGTACATACACTCGCTTGTTAGTCTAATTTTGCAATACAGAGAGCAACTTGTAAGGCCATAAAAACAGCAGACCACAGCAGCCGATTTGTTTTTAAGAATTATTGACTATAAAGGCGGTCTGTAACGTACGACAATGCGTGTTTGATTTTAGAGATCGAGAAATCAGCCAGAAAACACTTGTAAAGGCTAAACAAGTTTAATATGAACACTAGCTGAAATCGCCAGCAACATTTAGAGTATGACCGTTTTTTTACAAAATATATTTTTGTAAAAAAGCTGTCCTTTTACAAATATATATCAGTGTAAAAAAACAGCTTTCTTACGGTACCGTTTTTTTACACAACATATATATATATATATATATATATATATATATGTAGTTCACCTACTGGTCTATATATATATATATATCTGTCTGGATTTCATAGAAGGTGCCTGTACTGAGTCTCTAGACAGCCACGTCCAAGGCGCAACTACTCACCCTCCCCACCCATGAAGCTTCTGGCTAGTCAATCACTTCCCCCAAGCTCTGCTAGTAGTGTTACGATTATGAGTCACCGGACTGATTTGGCAGGCCTAGCCCACAGGAACAATTCTGACTTTGCACTGGTTTCTGAGATGAAACTCTCATCAAAGTGACAAAACTTCCCCTTCCTAGCCCCCTGGTTTTCACACAAAACGAGTCAGCCACTCACCCACGGATAGGTCTGGGCCTGGGCTCTCTGCTGACACCTAGGAAGACAGGAAGCCCCCTGGTTTTTTCCGGCTACACTGGCTTCGCCCGTGTTCAAAACTTAGCGGGCACCTCTTAGCAAAATCACACAGATATATGTGACTGGATTTGCAAAAACATGGCTATAGAAATCTCTCTCATATACCTTCTGACTGAAAAGTTGCTTGTTATTTTTTTAATTTGTACCAATATATTTACTGAATAGGCTATAGTATTTAGACTTTGATGACTTTCTCACTGGTATTAATCTACCACCCCCCCCTCCAAAAAAAAATGGAAATTGGAAATTCATGCTGATTTCTGACCAGGCCAAAGACTTAGTAAAAAATTGTTTTGAAGGTGAGGGCTCCATGTCTCCTATTCAACCGTTGGCTTCCATCCGGGATCTTGAATAAATCGACTGTGTGGGTCAAGACGATTGTGTGACGATTTATGTGGAGAAAGCGAGAGTTTTACGGAAAAATTTGACGATGTTTCGACCGTGTTAAGTGTGGAAGTATTATTAGTGGTCTTCGGAAGTGTTGTGATTGCCGCCAAAGTCATTTATTGCGTGATATACCGAAGGTGTTGACAGGCATGTGGTTGAGCTCGTGTTACCAGAAGACTTTGTGCCAAGCATAAAAACGCTTCGTGAGTGTTAAGTGTAGGTGATTTGCCTTAGAAAGCCTATTCTGTGCTCGAAGATTGTGGATTTTAAATGTAGTGTTTTCGGTAGAGACTTAGCTATGGGCCTCGTGGTTTGACTGACTAAAACGTTATACTTTCCTGACGTTTCAAACTCGTCGTTAATTTCATCGCAAAATCCTGGTACTTCTGCGGGAAAAATTACCGTCTGTTGCCAGCAAAAAAGCTGTGATTGTTGAGCCTTAGCTCGTGGCTTTTCACTGTTTCCCATTCGACTTAGATGTCAAATTGTTAAAATGTACTTGAAATTTCTTCAGCCACGGTTTAGCAAATCCTTGATATTCATGATATTGATGTAATTACTTTGAAACGTAATGAAGTTATTATTATTACTCAAGGACCACGGGGAGGAGGTAAGGGAGCCTTGCGCCCCACCCACTACCACTTCTTGTGCAAAAAAAAAAATTCAAATAATTTTTTAACAGTTAAGTTTATACCGAAGATGTTCTGATATTTTTTGCACGTGTAAACTAGCAAATTCGTTCCCAGGGTTCTCTCCTAACCGTCTCTGCGGAGCTAGAGAGGAGAGTAGGAGAGAACCCTCTCTCCGTTCCCTCTCAGGGACATAGCTGTAGCAATGTTACTTTTAGTAGAAAGTACATAACGCACCTTGGACACGTGTTCAATGGCTCTAATCCAAGGTACCAGCGGTTCCTTTTCCAGCATTTGACCCGGCTGACAACAAAGGAGTCTACCGTCCGTCAAAGGTATGTAATGGCCACAGTCATGGTGCCAACATGAACTTTTTTCGTGCCGGACGCAGGGCTCTGTCTCTTTTCCCATACAAACTGTGCATCGAGCGCACAACTTCTCAGACATTAAACGCAGCCAGTGACACTCCTTTCGTAGCTTTTTCAAGAATTCACTCAACTGGCTACAAAAAGAGAGAATATGTTCAACAGTGGAAGGGAAGCTCGGAAAACAGCAGTTTAGCTTCTATCTGAATCACTTGAAGGACTCGTATGTTAAGTAAACTGATCCTAACTGAATTGAACTGAAAAGAAAGCTCCCTCATCTAAAGGATCTTTCTCAGTATTCACTATTATTGTGATCACTAAAGGGGGATTCAACACTGGACTTAACAGGAGATACATGCCTCATGTTCACACACAAAAAAAACACAAGCTACCAGGAACGGATTTATAATTTAGTCACGAGTGCTTACCTTAAAACAAGATCATAAAGCTCTTGTGGAGGAGTACTGCCATGGTCTGCAAAAATTTGCAGCTTAATAACTGCTTTGTAGCACAACAATTGAAGAACATGGTTTTCATTGTCCAAGGCAATTTTGGCTTCATTAGCGCAAAGGCTGCGCATATTTTTAAAGTGAGGAGTTTTCCCAAAAAGGACAACTAGTCGGCAGAAAAGTCCACTTGGCACATATTTAGTTTGAAATGTGAGGTATATCGCTGAAGCGTAATCCGTTTCATTTTTTGCCTTTTCTTTATGATAGGTAGTCAGCATACAAGGGACCAGGATTTGCGATTCTCCTGTTTCAGTTTCTTTTGTTTTTTCTGGCCACTTGCAAATGAGGTTGAACTTATCCATTAAGGAAATAAAAGAGTCTTTAATAGGACACACATTTTTTTTGCTGCAGGTATAATTAATCAACCGCTCACGAAGAACTCCTTCTTCTGCTAATTTCCTGCGATCTTGTCTTAAATACCAGGGTTCTTTCTGATCCGGTTGCACTTTGATAATCTCACAGAGTACATTGATTAACCACCGGGGATCCAAGACAATCAGACCAAATTTCTGTTCATCCTGTTCATGTTCATGGTACACTATTGTTCCACGGCCATGCAAAAAATACACAAGCTCATCAAAGTCGTCTTCACTCTCAAAAGTGCAGTAGTGCGAAACAATATCTTTTCGAAAAGATTCCTTTTGGAGGTACTTTTGTTTTTGCCAGACAGGTTGGCTGATTTCTTTCTCGACACGATGCCATTGCAAAGGGATTTCCCTCTTGGTATGAGGCATTTTATCAGCCAACTCCAAGATCTTTTTTCGCAACTCACTGATTTCCTCCTGGTCGGCTGATTTTCCAGATTTTGTGTTATCAATCGGAAGACAATCTGCGATGTGTGGTAAATAAGTGTATTCATCGAACACACTTGAACACTTCTCTCTTACTACAGATTCAATTGCTTGACGTGGATCGTCTACACAGTCAGCATGAGTACCGACAAGTATGACTGGAGGATACGAAAGACCATCGCTCTGAAAATTCTTCTTTAAAGAGTGAATCAAGTCCATCCACCTAAACAAGTGATCCAAATTGGTGTCCTCACTATCGCGGGCTGTTGCAGTAAGCTCTTTGTGTCTCACATTGACTCGACATTCTGCTTTTTCACTCAATTTCTTTGTAAGATCAAACACGAGAAGATAAATGTCATCTGAGGACATAAAGATTGGATGTATAGCACGATAGATGTCCTGTCCAGCAAAATCCCAAATGATGGGCCAAATTTTTTCATCATTGTCAGCCTCATTTTTCCCGAGGTGTTCTTCTAATACTATGGCAATTTCATCTGGAACGCCAAATGGCTTCTTTTGATTTTCAAGGTCTTGGTCTTCTGAAACAAAAAAGAATAATTTTCTGTTTTATTAGTGAAGCTCTTCTAGTATTCCCGCTAATGCAAATCCAGCCTTTCGATTGTCTGACTGAAACATGGGACACCACCGAAAAATACTTGTTGAAATCACTAGTAAGTGCTTCCTATATTTGTCATAAAATAAAGAGGAGCAAAAGTATACTCTTGTTTTTCTACCTTACCTGCTGATAAAATCTCGAGTTCGCCTTACTAGTAGCTTCCAAAGGAAAGTGAATTGCTGCGAGTAAAGCATGACGTTTCAAATAATTCGAATCAGTTGCAGCTTATTTCGATTGTTGATATTCGACGTTAAAACAGCAAGTGGTAACGTTGCGAGTATGCGCGAGCCGCTGGACGGAAGTTTGTGGTGGTATTGGATCGCAGCGAATGCAGCAAAGAAAAATGGCACCTCTTTTAAAAATTACCATCGTCTTAGTCATCTGTTCTATCTTTGTGGAGTGCAGATAAGGCAAAGTCTTCTTTGTAATATGCGAGATTGGTCTCAAGGCTAATAAGTCGCAGATCACTCACAATTTTGAGCGGTTTGTGGTCCATGAGGGATTATTGTTTCGTGTTTTGGCTTGCGCGCGGACACGTCGATGGGGTTCTGTGTAACGGCTGCAAAACTCCTCTGTTAAACACTGGATAACTGGGAAAAAATCTCTTCATGTAAGTTGTGACCGAGTACAAAACGTCCGACGCTTACGATTTGAATAAAACGCTGTGAAAAAAAGGTCTAAATGCTAGTCTGTTTATATAGTCATAACTGCAGTTCTTGCGACAATCCCCTTGCAATATCACGTCAGTTATGGTTCAGGAACGCCCTGTTTTTCAGAGATGTGTAACCTTAGTGCAGTGATTCTGCCAGTGATTACTTTTCAGAGATACCCCATCCTAACCACCAGTGGCCAAAGCAGGTGCAGTGCCCTAATTCTGCGACTGATAAAATTTCAAAGATATCCCACCCAGGGCTATGAAATTGTAAGTTTCCTTTTTTGACTAGATGATATAAAACTGAAGACCCAAACTCAAGAAATGACATCTATTAAATCTATGTGATGCCTTAACTTATTCAGGGATGTAGGCAGAATTTTGTAATATGGAGGCTCTTGACTCCAAGATGCCCCTTATACTTCTAAAATAAAGAATTAGATGAGCCAAAACAGGAGTGTGGTATAGGATGTTTCATATTACAGATGTGTTTTATTGAGGTAACCCTAACCATGAAAGATCCTTCCCTTTACTCCCCACACTTCTACATACTAGAAAATTGCAAATATGCACACAACAGTGAAAATACTTAGCAAAGCAAAGATCATGTAATGCAGTGTTTCATCACCAGATGAAACACCGAGAAGAGAGTTGAAAATACGACGCGCAGAGGAGTATTTTTGACGAACTCCGAGGTGTTTCATCTGGTGATGAAACACTGTGTCGAATGTTTGATATTTCTTCTCAAACAAAATCATTTTTGAAGGAGAAATTAAGGATGCAAAAATGAGCAGTTTTTCATCTGATATCCAAACACTCATTAAACATTAATTTCCTTTGAATTTTCTTGATGAATTATTAATGAGTTTGAGAAAGTCATATCTAAAACTGCTTTTTCTCTCTGAGACATTGAAGTGAATTTTCTGCTTCTGATACTTCCATGCTTGCACTCATTTTTGCTTTTCATAAATTTTGTTTTTGGTATTTTCTACTGCACATGTGTTAATTATTTAAGATATAACTAATAAGGCCTAGCTCCCTTGACTAGCCCATATCTGGGCTAAGATTAAAAAATTGAAAATGAGAGAAAATTAGCTCTAACTTTTCCTTTTCATTCAATTTCAACATGAGGAGAACTTAAGGATCTTAAAGCCTGATGTTTATAAAGTCTGAGTTTATGGTAGCTTCAAGTGAGCCAATGTATGACTCATTGAAATTAAAGCTTGTCTGTGTGTCTTCTGGGGCACCAAGGCTATTTGATGCGATTTTTCTGGGCCTGGTTTTCCTTGACCTCACTAGGAACTTCTTCCTGTTGGCGGAGTTGAGATTTCCCTTCATCAGCTGACAAAATAGGGTCTTCTGTGTGATTATAGAAAAACAAAAGCGTGGAATGTAAGAAATTCGTGTTGAAATACATAGCCTGTACAACGCTCACAGATTATCGACCTTCAGGGCTTCAAAGATCGGACGTCAGAGTGGCAAATTTCCTCTGATGGCCTATGAGTCTACTAACTTGTTCTCTTTATACGTTCTGTCTAAATTTTTAGGACCCCGTTGCGGGACTAGATAATATCTTATAAAAGAAATCCATCCGTGTTTAATTAGCCTATTCCGGGCGAGAGCAAGGGGAAGGGTTAATGCCACCAACCCAAAGGTTATTCGGTTTTGATTTCTCAGAACCATTTCACTGATGAAACTTTTTTCCTTCAGCAACTTTTTATACATTCCCTAGAAAATTGCATATAACGCTGCGGCCATGTATTAAGCGGCCAGTTTTTCCGATTTTTCGCCCATACAAGCACTGTATCTGTTTTGACGTTTTGCCCACGATTGCCTTAATTTTGTGTCGTAGAAAAAGTGTGTTTTCTGGATATTTCTAGCCCGTTTAAGCAAACCAAAGACATGTTCTTTTCTTCAAAGAAAATTTAAATCTTTCCCAATGAGCTCTTAAATGAGCTTTCAGGGGCCGAACGCTGTCAGAACTTTTAAGAAAGAACCTCTCGAGCTCAAGGATTCTTTTGAAATAATTTTCACTGAGAGAAAAAATAAATTAAGAGAAAATGTTTGGGACGCTTACCACCTTGAACAAACTGATCAAACTGATCTGTTCTGTTAGACACTTCAATTCTTGGTCGCTTCTTTGCTGGCTGCTCCAAATGTTTGCTTAATAAATTCTCAGCAGTCTTTGCAGCAACCTTATGATCAAATACTGTTGTGTGTTCAAGAAGAGATGGATTTCTCCACGCGCCTGTTCCAGCATTTTTGATAGCAGGGATCATTTGCACTCCCTCGGTACTGAGTTCGGCTTCATTAAAAGGTTCACCTCTTAGAGCTTTACCGACGCTCGTTTTGCCCACACGGTCTTGCCCTACGAGCAAAACCTTGACACGTTTATCATATGTGCTTCCACCAGTCTCAATTGCCCTGTGGTAAGCAGCAAGTGCCTTGTCTCCTCTGGCTCGCACAAAGGCTGGAATCAAATCTGAAAGTATTAAAAGAATCGGTTTAACAAATTATTAGAGGCAACATCAGGTATTATACTGATGTTAAATAAGCTAGTCTCTACACGCGATCATGTATCATTCTTGCAGCCTTAGAAAGATTACTGCACACTGATTGTTTCTTTAGAGACCAAGAGTTTATTGCTGCGGAGCGACCGAAGGGAGCGAGCAGCAACATAATCAGGATTTAAAGGAAATATATAAAGGGGCGACGAATTCTCGAATTCATCACTTTTTACCACAATGCATTGCATTTAACCACACTTTTTACCACAATGCATTGCATTTAACCAGAGTGCATTGCGGCACGAACAACTCAAATAAAAACACGGGGAAGTAGTGCATCGTTCGCTGCTCAGTTCTACAGCACGGTTACTGGTCTTACCAAATTTTAAGACACGCAGGAGTCTTTCAGATGAGTACGATGGTTAACTTGGGGAGTGGATTTCAATTCAAGAGCATTTGACTTGTCCAGGTGTTAAACCTGACGAGAAGATGAGCATTTGCTCTTCAACTCCGCAACACGGGGGATATACAAATTCCAGCTTGCTAGAAGGTGATGTGAAAGTGAGAAAATGTCATATAATGCTATTCTTAAGAAACTGTATGAGCCGAAAATGGATGTGATTTTGACCATTCGCTTCAAAATAACAGCGGAAATCGAGATAACAAAACATATGTTTTGTGTCCTACTTTGCAGACCAGGACGTGTATCGGCGTTTTGAAAAGCATAATTATGTTCTTTCATTCATTCATTGCCATGGAATATGCGTTTACATTGTTTTTTCACTGTTAATAGCTCGGTTAACACGGCTGGCGATCATCTTGCCGGCGGAAGTTTCATAGAAAAGGAATAGAATGAAACACTTTTCCCAGTAATTACGTAATCAGCCTCTGTGGTGTAGTGGTTAGGTGTAGACGCGTCAAGTCGAAGGTGCTGGGTTCGAGTCCTGCCGAATTATTTATTCCTACTTTCTTTTTTCTTTCCTTTTTTTGTGTTGTTGTTTTCTATAAATACATAGCTAAATAACTGTTACTTAATAAAGTGCAACAAACAGCAAGAGAAGTATTGTGTTTCCAGAGAAAATATCGTGCACTGTATATTAAATATCTGGATAATCGATGTCAATTTCTATTATTTCCTACAATTTACTATGGGAAAACCAGAGTTGATAACCACTTGATCATTTTCTAAACAACGTTCCCACGAGTTCTTTCTATAGACTGATAGTAATTATTCTAGTAATTTCCAACATGTAAATAGGACATTCAATGTCATTTTTGATTCCTTTAAGTCTCACTGCCTAACTAATTCCAGTATCAACAGAATGTGCCGCAGCATTACTATCTTTTAGATACCCTAGTATAATTACTTAGAAGTATAGAAAATTCAAGATTTATGCCACGACCCGGCCAGGACCGTTGCCAGACATTTAACGCAGAAAATTGCAAAATCTAGAGGCTTTGAGTCACATTGTATTTTAGGTAATTTTAAAAAATTCAATCTTGTTTAAATCCAGACGAGGTGCTTGCCTCATCACACTATTATTACATCATTGTTGTTTCACAACACCTTTATTTCAATAATAAAACCTCGTCTGCTCATAGTTCCTCTATCAACGCCTCGGAGTCACTACCTGACAGTTCTTCTTTAAGAATTGAGTTCAAAACTGTCTTTCGACTGGTCTTCAGCGACGGGATAGCCAACTTCTTCAGTCTTTCTTCTTAAAATTTCCATTTACGTTTATTTATGTTTTTCCTTGAGATATGTATGCTGAGAAGTTTGTATTGCAGCAAATTCGAGTAAAATAAAGTTAGGCGCACATTATTTTCGAAAATTTCGCGTTAATTTGATGTTTGTAAAAGCAACTTTTGGAAAATTCGCGTTAATTTTGTGTAACGTAAATTTTCTTCCCGTTGTCGACGTGCATCGTTAATTTCCTATAATAAGGTAATCCCACTGGGTTAACGATGGTTTCCCCTCAGAATGTGGAATATTACGCTAAATATGAATGTAAATGAAAATCTTTTCCCACCAAACATTACAATTAACGTTTTTCTGCACAAGATTACAAAAACATCTCAAGATTTATTCAAAAGGTCTAGATAGCAGCAACAATATAGATAGCCACATAAACATAACAACTTTCTTTAATTTACCAGACATGTTTCGACGATACCTCCGTCATCTTCAGTATTACATATTTTGAAATCGCCGTTGTAACAAAGTTCGTTACATTGCGTACGAAAACGTTTAACTGAATTAGTGACGCTTTGCTACTTACAAGGAGAGAGTCAGTGTTAATGTGTTTCACCTGCTGGTTGAGGTCAGGTTTCTCCCATTTTATGAACATAGATTCCTTAAGCTTTACTTGAGTCTTACTTGGTACTTAGTAGCTGAAGAGTCCAGGATCTCGAAGCAATCCGGTGTGAAAGATGTTCGACAAAACTCTGAACTCTGCAGGTGTCTAAAAACGTTCGAAGACCTGTCGGAAAGTACCCGCACACTCGCGTGGAGAAATGTCGACTGGTTTCACCAATATAACAAGCATTACAATTCGTCTTATACACGAAAATTTATAAACCACACGCTTGAGAAGCCCCTCAGGGACAGCATCTTTCACATTAAAAAGATTCGTGATTTTGAAAGTAGTCAAGACAAGCCTTATATTAATAGCTACCAATGACCAAGTAAAGCTTAAGGAATCTATGTTCATAAAATGGGAGAAACCCGACCTCAACCAGCAGGTGAAACACATAAACCTGACTCTCTCCCTGTAAGTAGCTAAGCGTCACTAATTAAAACTTTTTCTTACGCAATATTGCGGTAGGTACGTGGTGTAAGCATCATATAGTGGTTCCCCGTTAGCTAATATATGGAATACATTTCTCTCAATAGCTCTACATAGCCCTACATAGCCATACGTAGACATACATAGCCCTACACAGCCATACACAGCCCTACATGGCCATACACAGCCCTACATAGCCATACATAGCCATACATAGCCCTACACAGCCATACACTGCCATACATAGCCATACATAGCCCTACACAGCCATACACAGCCATACATAGCCCTACATAGCCATACACAGCCCTACACAGCCCTACATAGCCCTACATAGCCCTACACAGCCCTACACAGCCCTACACAGCCATACATAGCCCTACATAGCCCTACACAGCCATACATAGCCCTACATAGCCATACATAGCCCTACATAGCCCTACATAGCCCTACATAGCCCTACATAGCCCTACATAGCCATACATAGCCATACATAGCCCTACATAGCCCTACATAGCCCTACATAGCCATACATAGCCATACATAGCCCTACATAGGCATACATTGCCCTACACAGCCATACATAGCCATACATAGCCCTACACAGCCATACACAGCCCTACATAGCCATACATAGCCATACATAGCCCTACATAGCCATACACAGCCCTACACAGCCCTACATAGCCATACATAGGCCTACACAGCCATACACAGCCATACACAGCCCTACACAGCCCTACATAGCCCTACATAGCCCTACACAGCCATACATAGCCATACATAGCCATACATAGCCATACATAGCCCTACATAGCCCTACATAGACATACATAGCCATACATAGCCATACATAGCCATACATAGCCATACATAGCCCTACATAGCCATACACAGCCCTACATAGCCCTACACAGCCCTACATAGCCCTACACAGCCCTACATAGCCCTACATAGCCCTACACAGCCCTACACAGCCATACATAGCCCTACATAGCCCTACACAGCCATACATAGCCCTACATAGCCATACATAGCCCTACATAGCCCTACATAGCCCTACATAGCCATACATAGCCATACATAGCCATACATAGCCATACATAGGCCTACACAGCCATACACAGCCCTACATAGCCCTACACAGCCCTACATAGCCATACACAGCCCTACACAGCCCTACATAGCAATACATAGGCCTACACAGCCATACACAGCCATACACAGCCATACATAGCCCTACATAGCCATACATAGCCCTACATAGCCCTACATAGCCATACATAGCCATACATAGCCATACATAGGCCTACACAGCCATACACAGCCATACATAGCCATACATAGCCCTACATAGCCATACACAGCCCTACACAGCCCTACATAGCCATACATAGGCCTACACAGCCATACACAGCCATACACAGCCCTACATAGCCCTACATAGCCATACACAGCCCTACACAGCCCTACATAGCCCCACATAGCCCTACACAGCCCTACACAGCCATACATAGCCCTACATAGCCCTACACAGCCATACATAGCCCTACATAGCCCTACATAGCCATACATAGCCCTACATAGCCCTACATAGCCATACATAGCCATACATAGCCATACATAGCCCTACATAGCCCTACATAGCCCTACATAGCCATACATAGCCATACATAGCCATACATAGCCATACAAAGGCCTACATAGCCATACACAGCCCTACATAGCCCTACACAGCCCTACATAGCCATACACAGCCCTACACAGCCCTACATAGCCCTACATAGCCCTACACAGCCCTACACAGCCCTACACAGCCATACATAGCCCTACATAGCCCTACACAGCCATACATAGCCCTACATAGCCATACATAGCCCTACATAGCCCTACATAGCCCTACATAGCCCTACATAGCCCTACATAGCCATACATAGCCATATATACATAGCCTCACATAGCCATACATAGCCCTACATAGCCATACATAGCCCTACATAGCCATACTACAGCTATACACAGCTATACATAGCCATATATAGCCCACATAGCCATACATAGCCCACACATAGCCCTACATAGCTATACATAGCCATACATAGACCTACATAGCCCCACACAGCCCCACATAGCTCCTACATAGCTCACTACACACACAGCTGTACATAGCCATACATAGGC